TTTTTTGAAGACAAGGCATTTTTTCAGATTAAAAGTAGGAAGGCAGCCTAACAATTCTAGATAAGAAACACTTCTCTCCTAAGCGGGGAATGACAGAAACACCCGGAAATGTGCCTCACAAGGCACTGTTCAGCTTCTCTGTCAAGCATGTGAAAGGGGTGAAGACGCTGCAAGCCGTCTAAGTGCTAAGACAAGCGCCAGATGGGAAGTCCCGGCACACCTGTGTTTTAGCTTCAGCTCTTCTACTCAGGTTATTCCTTGGGATTACTTACAGCTATAAGAATTAGAGGGACAAAATGAATGGTTTTTTAAATCTTTACACTTGATCTTAGCCAAAAGGCCAAGAAGCAATTGCTTTTTTTAAGTTTTAAAAATGCATTCGTTTTTATTTTACGTGTAGGAAAGGCGTGTTTGGCCTGCATGTTTCTAAGTGTACCCCTATCCTGCAATGCCCATGGAGGCCAGAAGAGGGCATTGGATCCCCTGGAACTGGAGTTGTTGGCCACTACGTGGGTGCTGGGAACGCAACCTGGGTCCTCTGCACCGAGCTGGCTCTCTAGCCCTAAAATGAATACTTTACCAAAGCCTTTTCTAGCTTTTATGACTCGAGCCGGATGATCCTCACTTCAAGTGTTAACTTTAGTTGGGTGCAGGCTGACAGACATTCTAAGGTATAGCCATCACATTTCAGGGTTTATAGCTGGGGAACTGGGAAACACACTGACCAACTACTCAGCTATTCTTAGAGATGCCCAATTTTTGTCATTATTAGTTGATTCCAGTGGCCAAATGCCAACAACTGCAGCAAAGGGGCGGCAAGTGCTCTGTGCTTAGAGAAGTGGCTATGGCTGTAAACTGAGAAAGATTCTGTTTCTCAGGATCCCTCTGGAGATATCCATGGAAGTCCAACTACTAAGTTAATACAAGAGGTCTTCATCAAACAAACCAGGCAAACTGGACCAGATAGTAATCATAATAGGAGAATGGCAGTTGGCACACTCAGGTAAAGAAAGACGTGATCTGATAAGATAGCCAAGCTCTGTGGACCCTCAGCAGAGTTCAAATGTTATGAAGCACAGGCTTAAAGCGTGGCTGAATCATGATCAGATGCAGGCCTAGTCTTCCAATTCTGGTGAAAGGCTTTTGTTTTCCCCAAGGTGGAGTGGAACCTAGGAGCTAAACCTATAAAACCAGAAAGAGGACAAGATCTGGTCTATGTAGGGAATACAGAACCTCTGCCAAGGGGGTCAAGGTAGCTCAGAATCTGGACACTCAAGGACAGAGACAAGAGAAATAACTTGATCAGGGTGGGAGAAATATCCTAGAGAAAAATAGGAGACACCTAGAAATGTGAAATGTGCTTCCAGATACCAAACACAAGCAAATGGTCCTCTCCAGGGTGGGTGGGCTTGTCCCATGAACTATTCTTACCTGTTACATTGCTTTGATGCATTAAAAAAAAAAAAAAAGATAGGGTTGGCTATCTAAAGACTGGATTTATATTCCTATGGTCTAGGAAAGAACTGATTATGACCTGTCATTTGGGGACAAGTCTGCTCATAACTATTACAGGTCCCTAAAAATCTGCTCATGTTAATTATGGAAAGAGTTGATGATTCTACACTGAGAACAGATCCTGACAGACATACTGTCAGTTACCATTCACCAGACAGTTTTCATGTTGTTTTTAAATTTTGGAAGTAGGTGGTTTTAAGTTACTTCCTCAACTTTGTTTTGGAAATTCTGTCAGCCCATTCCCTCAGATGTTCTTGTTTCCATTTTTAAGGCTCCTTAGTAGCTCCAGTTTTGGAGGAAAATCTGCCAAGCTGCCCTAGAAAGCAGTCATAAAGACCACAGAGAGTATATAATTTCCTTTTCCAGACAAAGAAAAAGATAGCAGTACCCAGTGTGCTTGAATTATGAATTTCTGTGGGTTTTTGTTTTGTTTTGTTGTTTTTATTAAACACAGGGCTGCCCTCTAGCCCCAACTGGCCTGGAACTTGCTATGTAGAACAAGTTGGCCTCAATCTCACAGAGATCCACCTGCCTTTGCCTCCCAAGTGCTAGGATTAAAGGTGTGTGCCAAAATGGCCCTCTCTGAATCGTTTTGGTTTTTTTTTTTTGGGGGGGTCTTTTTTAAGACAGGGTCTCCCTGTAGCCCCAGCTGGCCTGGAACTTGCTATGTAGACCAGGCTGGCCTTGAACCTAACAGAGACTCACCTGCCTCTGCCTCCTGAGTGCTGGGATTAAAGGCATGTGCCACCATGCCCAGCTCTGAATTTCCTTTTATCTCAGAACACATCATTCAAGTGCAGGTGAAAAGATGGGCATAACAGCTATCTCAGGCTACTCACATATGTATTTTGAGAAAGAAAAGGAAATCAAAGGAGGTAAAGGTAGGTATTTGGTAATAGAGAAGTCTGCGTTCTTGCCCCATTTATACTCGGCACACTGAAAATCTAGAGATGGACACAGGCTTCAAGAACACCGAACTGCAATGGGGAATAGCTGTTAGGTTCACAGTAACCCTCTGTTTTGGAGACCTGAAGTAGTATTGAAATAGAAGAATACTTATGTTTTAATGTGATTTAAATTAGTGTGTTGACCATAAAGATATGGAGTTGTGACTGATGAATAAAGAATATAGTCTAGAAAATTCAGAGGTATTTCTATTAATATTTTAGTGTCAACTTTAAAATTAAGGGTACAAGGGTTACAAATTCAGAAAATATAAAAATATCAATGAAAACTTATTTTTTTAAATCTAAGAGTGATTGAGAACGAAATAAGGAAATTAAGTTTTGTGAAATCACAACTCTCAAAGTCCTTTCAAATAATAGCAAGGTCTTGCTGGAATGATAATTTTTCAGTTGGTGCTGCTAGAAGTCAGTGAGAACATTCCCAAGGTGGTTGAAATTTAAGCATCACATAAGCATCAGCTTTCTTCTCACTCCAAACATGAAAATAAGTGTTCATCCTGACAAGACTTGAAATTAGCTCTCTTTCCTGTGCTTTAATCCAATTCCGTATCACGTTGCTTGCATGATGCGTCTGCTACCAACTCTTCTTAATGCCATGTAAAGTCTAATCGCTGAAATACACAGTCTTTAAAGTGGCTCTAACAAACCAGCTTAAAGCTAACACAGCAGCTTAAAGCACAAGGGCAGGAACAGACTTCATAACCAGTGGATCTTTCCTTAGCTTTGTATGATGAGCTTATTTTCCAGTCTAACTACTTAACATTTTTAAAAATCATTTCAGAATATATTACATTGTTCTTTAGCTCTTCAAAGGGTGGGGAGCATCCCTCAAAGGAAAATTGGGGTGCCTTACCAAAGGAACAGGAGTGAGGCAGACACGTGTTCATTCGTCCCTTCCCATCCACCAGAACTTAGTATTTTACCTGGCATTAGAAACTCTTAAATAAAAATGCTGAATGAGAATTAAGTCAGATGTCTTAGAAGTTAGAACTTTTTTTGTGTCTTCAAACTTGTCATCTGTCTTCTTTGGCTCCCATTTTTGTGAGACAAAAAGACAGCAACTCTTAAACAGTTGTCCACCTTCTGTTGGGGAGAGAGATTTTCCCACTTTAACTTAGCATTCTTAGTATAACTGGATGACTTCGTCCCACTCAGAAATAGGCCAGATCCCATTGGGTCGCACATTTGGGGGAGAGCTCTTCCAGTCCCATGTCCTTACAGGAATCTTCCAGGTCTTACCATAGTTGGCTTCGATATATTCAATGGTTTCACAGGGTACATGGACTTTCATGTCTACAAACTCAGTCCAGCACAGTGTAAACTTGGGAAACAGATACCTGCAACAAAACACAGGCAATTTGGGAAAGGTCAGGTTTTAACAGTGGAAAGTGTAGCTAAGTAACCCAATTGCTACGTAGTCTTGGCTGAAGGACAGCCCTTTCCTATTAAACAGATTTTTATCTGTTTAGTAGCCCTTTCTTTGTTCAGTCTTAACAACACCCTGATTTTTCTCTTCTACTTCCAGTCTGTATGAGGGGAAGCTAACCCGATGAGAGATGAGAAACAAAGCAAAACCCAACACAGGCCTGGTTAGCAAGTTACAGTGATTGTAACTTCAGAGGTGGGAGCATGCCGAAGTAAGGCACAGCAAAGTCAGCCTTGGGATTTCTATGGGATACCGAGGGAAGAGGTGCACAGCAGTTTCCAAAAGATGGAGGAAAATAATCATTTTCTTTCTTTGCACAATTTGGATTTCCAAAAGATACAGACTGATTTCAAGGAGCATTCCAAGGCTTTTCCTTTGCTCCACATTTCATATAATCCAACATGTATTTTCTTTCTTTCCTCTCAAATTCTAAAGATAGCTCTAAAGCAGTCTAAGAAATATTGATTATAATGAATCTGACTGTATCTAGCACAGAATTACATGAATTTGTAGTTTAGGAATTGTCCTAGTTTACTTTCCTAGTCCTGTGATTAAACACCAACCAAAAGCACCTTGGGGAAAGTTTATTATATCTTACAGCTCACAATCCATCATCAAGGGAAACTAAGGCAGGACCCTCCAGGTAGGAACTGAGCAGGCTTGCTCAGCTACCATTTTTATACGGCCAAGCCCATCTGCTTAGGGATGGCACTGCCCACAGTGGGCTGAGTTCTCTCACATCAATCAGCAATGAAGAAAATGTCCTACACACCATGGCCAATCCAACGGAGGAAATTCGTCAACCGAGGCTCCCTCCTGACAGGTGTCTCTAGTTTGTGTCAAGTTGACAAAAACTGACTAGTACCGAAGTTAACACAAAATGTGTTTCTTAAAGGTACTTTGGATGAAGGTGGGCATAGTGATACATGCCTGTAACCCTAGCATTTGGAGATAGAAGAGGATCCATATACAGTGGGTTCTAAGTCAGCCTGGGTTATGTAAGACCTTGACTCAAAACAAAACAAAGCACACTACAACACCTGGGTTTGGTTTCCAGCACCCAGATGGTAGCTAACAACCATCCAAAACTCCAGTTCTAGGCAATCTGCCACCCTCTTCTGTGCTCTGTGGGCATTGTATATATGAGTATACACATATATGTACATTAAATAAAAAAGATATTTTAGATCAAATTAATTGCACACCTGATACTACAAAGGAAAGCTAAAACTAGCAGGTCTGTTTAAGGTTACATAGCTTTATATTCTGTGTTGGTTTCTTAATGAGAAGCACTTCTCTTATTTATTTTAATTTTATGTGCATGAGTGTTTTGCCTACCTGGATGTAAGTGCACCGTGTGTGTGCAATGCCTGCAGAGGCCAGAAAAGGGCATTGGATGCCTTGGAACTGGAGCTACAAACAGTTGTTAGCTGTCATGTGGGTGCTGGGAACTGAACTGAGGTCCTCTGGAAGGGCAGCCCAGTGCTCTCAATTGAGCCATCTCTCCGGTCCTGAGAAGCATTTCTTTTCTTCACAACATGGAAAGAACGTTCAGTAATTAATCCTGAAGTGGCAATATCAGAGAACATAGGAATTTAAAATACCAGAGAATTAAAGAAGGAGTAGAGAATTATGGAAATGGGATCTAACTGCTTTTGATACTGTATTTTACCACCAACTGAAAACAAAGAATGGGTTTCTGCTTTTGAGCATCATGTTTCACCACTAAGTGGACATAAAGTCATACAGGAAAATAAGGCTGAACAAATCTTAAGGAAAGCAACAAGTGCCTCTACAACAGCCAATGGGCACTGGCAGTGAATGGACAGGTCCAGCTGGCTTCTGTGAAAAGAGCCACAGCAAATCTCATAGCTGAGAAAGAAATGAGATACAGCTTAGACCCACCATCTGCTGGTCCCAATTTCACTCTGCACATTCATATTTGTAGAGTTGCTTATTTTGTCCTGAGACATATCCATCCGTCAGCCTCCCAGTCAGAAGATGGTCAGCAGTATGTCCATCTGTCCCATCCTAGCAGGCTGACACAGTAAACCTGAATTGACGCACATGCAGTCTACCTAGTAACACAGGACAGGAAACTTCTCTCTTAAATATTAGCCCCTATGGTCTCAGCAAAGAGCAGAAAGAGAAAAATAACAGATCTATGATAAACATGGTTAAAGAGAACACTACAGGTTCTATAGAAGCAATGCTTTGAATAAAGGAGAATCTATGAGGAAAACCAAAACATTTAGACTATATAAACAATGTGAAAATAACACGGAAACAACTCGTCTCAAATGTTAACTTGTTCCTAACCAAAAATATCCCTTAACTCTATGGTTTTCTTTTCTCCAATTATTTTTTTAATCTATTCAGCAAAAGAATATCTTAGCTTCCTAGGAGAAGAGGAAAGATAAACAAACCATAAAATGTGAAAACTGTAAAGCTGGACTGTGGAGAGGAAGGGTGTTAAGTCACACAGAGCAGTGCATGCCATGAACTCTGTCCAGTTTACCCGAAAATGATAGGACTAAGATACACTATAGGTTTACAATGTCACCTTGGGTTTTAGAGGCTATGATTAAGTCTGGCAGAGCAGTCTGCACTTTAAATCAGTGGGGCAGTATTCAAAATGTGAACAGATTTAAATTTAGACTAAGGCAACCCTAAATTAGAGTACAAATTAAAGGGATTTTACTATCACAAAAAATCCTCCCATCTGTTTTCTAACTTATGTCAGTTCATCTTATTTTTGCCTAAAACTAGTTAGAACAGCTGCTAGACTTAAGAGTTGGTTGTAGTAAATTTTTTTTTTTCCCTTCAGATATCCTTAAATCTATAAAGCTACTGGGGGGGGTGTTAAAGTTAATTTCATCAGCTTAATTGTACAATCTATGAACATGATTGCTAAATGAAAGTAAGTTTTTTCAGCATCCTCTAAGAACATTGTGTTTACTGTTACTAATTAACTAGGCTAAGTGAAATAGAGACATTATCAAGTACAACCAAACCTGACTTTTCAAAATGTAAGTTTGCATTAAACTCTGGAGTTGGAAGAGCACAGCCACCTCCCTCCCCACACACCATGTACAAAACAACACAAATGGTTTATTCTCATTAGCAATCTTACTCCCCCCTTTACCTATTTCTTTTACTTGTGCTATGCCAGTGCTAACCACTCGAGTACACTGTTCAGTAGAAGCAGTGTCAGATCCTAAAGTTTTACCATTAAATATGATTGCTCACTTTTCATATCTTCCCTTTATCAAGTTAAGAAAATTTCACATCCCTTTTAATTCAAATTTTTCTTAAAAAACCTTTGGTTAATTATGAAACCTATCAAGTTTTTTTTTGTTGTTGTTTTTCTGGTCTTTTTTGAGACAGGGTCTCCCTGTAGCCCCAGCTGTCCTGGAACTCACTATGTAGACCATGCTGGCCTTGAACTCACAGAGATCCGCCTGCCTCTGCCTCCCAAGTGCTGGGATTAAAGGCGTGCGCCACCTATCAAGTTTTTGATGTCATCAGTTTAAACAATCATGTAGGTTTTAAAAAATATTTTTATTTATTATTTTTATGTGTGTGAGTATATTGCCTACCCATGTTGTATAATGCCCTGAGAGGTCAGAAGAGGGTGTTGGATCCCCCCAAACTGGAGTTCCAGACAAGTGTTAGGTGCTGGGAATTGAACTCAGGTTCCCTGCAAGAGCAGCCAGTACTCTTAACTGCTCTAGTCCTTCATGTAAGTTTTTTTTTTTTTTTTTTTTTTTTTAACCCTTGTTTTTTTCTTCTTCCCTTTTAGTCAGGTTTAGAGATGAAATGCAAGGCCTTGTGCAAGAGGCAAGTAGTCTGGCACTTTCCTTTAATCTTTTTGGGGTTTTGGGGGGGGGTTTCTTTTTTTAGTCTTTTTTGAGACAGGGCCTTTCTGTGGCTCTAGCTGGCCTGGAATTCATTATGTAGACCAGGCTGGCCTCGAGCTCACTTCCCTTTAATCTTTTAAAGAATTACACACACCAATACACATCCATTACAAAGCTCTTTTAGTATATTTTCATCTGTGTTTACTGTGTAATTTCCTTTTGTTAAATACTTAGTTATTTGTATTTTATGTATATAACTGTTTTGCCTGCATATATGTATGTGTACCAAGTGTGCGCCTAATGCCTACAGAGGCCAGAAGAGGGCATTGGATCTCCTGAATCTGGAGTCACAGAAGTTGTCCGTTTCCCATGTGGGTGCTGAGAACCGAACCCAGGTCTTCACTGAGCCATCTCTCCAGTCCTGTAATTTACCTTCTTAAAAATATTCTGGTGCTATCAATACTCAGGTTTGCTTAATCTCATAAAGTTGCTTAGCTTCTTAATATTTTTGGAAATAGGTTCTATGATGTACATGTCACATACTGTGTGAAGCCATGACACACAACTTACTTTTTTATAAACCACTAAGGTTTTGGAGGAAAGAGAAGGGGAAGGGTTTCTGATTACTAGTTCTGTTTCCTGAATGGGTATAGGTATCTGGATCTTCCTGAGTTGATTTTGGTTCATATTTTTACAAAAATTTTTACCACACGTACTCTTTACCCAATTGTCACATTGGTCAAATTAATGTTACCCACATCATTTTCTTCTCATAGCCAGTGTAACACAGCAAGAAGGATAGAGTGAGACATCTTGGGTTTGGGGAGTAAATATAATCTTTTGTTTTTTCCATCTTTCCCCTTTAATCAGTCTTGCTAATTATCTGTTTTACTGGTTTATTTTTTAAACAAAACACATTGGGAACTTTTGGTCTTTTATATTCTTTGTTTACTATTTTCTTATATATTCTTTGTTTATTGTTTTATTAGTGTCTTTTCTTGGCTTGCTTCCTTCACTTTCCTGAGGCCAACTCCATTCATCGTTACTTACT